GCAGAAAAATGGGCCAACTGGTGCTAACTATAAATGTTCAAAAAATGGATGGATGAATTCTGAACTTTTTCTTGATTGGTTAATGCACTTCGAAAAACAGGCAAATCCCACTTTAAATGACCCGATTCTCCTTATCCTTGACAACCATTCAAGCCATATATCCATAGAGGCATACGATTTCTGTAAGTCAAATCATATTCATATGGTGTCCCTTCCGCCACATACTTCCCATCACCTTCAACCCCTTGACCTATCCTTCTTTGGTCCTTTAAAAAATGCGCTATACAGGGAGTATGATATTTATTTAACTACAACAGGCCATGAAAAGATCACTGAATATGACGTAGCTGAGCTGTTAAATAAAGCGTTCGTAAAAGTCGCATCGATGGAGAAAGCAGTTTCGGGATTTCGTTCTGCTGGAATAAGGCCATTTGACCCTAACAAATTCAACGAAGATGATTTCGCTCCGGCCAACGAAATGAGACAGTTTGTAGTAGAAGGTTCTCCCGAACGTAGCGCTAATTTATTAACACTTGCATCTCAGCCAAATCTACAAAAAATTCCTAATCCGGCAACACCCGAACCTAGTGAAAATTCAGACGGTGAAGATAGACAGACAGCTCATATGCCAAAACAACAGCAGCAGGATCTACCTATTCAAGGTCATCTACCATGTACATCTACCGCTGAACAAGATCATCTACCATCTACATCTAAGTCTGGACACAACCATCTACCATCGACATCTACATTAAATAATTCATTCTTCCAATTTGCACCTATTCCAAGGAGAAAAGAAAAAGGAAGAGTAAAAACAGTGTCTCGTTCGAAACAACACTCTGAAATATTGACTAGCACACCCCTAAAAGAACGATTAGAACAAGCTCAAGCAAAGAAAAGGGAAAAAGACGTGAAAAAAAACATGAAATTAAAAAGTGTCAAAACATTAGGAAAGAACAATATTAAGAAAGATAATAAGAAAATGAAGAGGGCTCCAACACCTGAACTTGATGCACAAGAACGTGACGAGGAAGATGAAATCGAGAATGCTTATTTCTCGATCCCACCTCACTCCTTCTACGGAACCACTACAAGAAAAATAACGGCAAAAGAGAATGTTGCAAAAAAAGTAAAAAAACGCATATGTCAGTCTCCGGAAATTAAAAGAGGGAGAAATAAGAAACCAGCAACGCCTGAATCATCAGAGGTATCTGACATAGACGATAGTGACATTTGTGACGATGATGAAGTAGACGATATCAACCCCAACTATGTTCCATTTGATGCAGAACCTGACGTGCGGACTGAATTATGTGGCATATGTGGAGAACATGGAAAAAGCGAACTATGGTACCGGTGTGTTGCATGTGGCTTATGGAACCACGCGGCATGTACCGGTAAAGATGCCCCCGAACAATACATTTGCGACTTTTGTCAAGGTTAAACAGATACCTACTTAACATTATAGGTATATAATCACTCGTACAATAAATATTTGTTCTTGCATGTGAATTTGTTTTTATACCACTGTATTATTAGGTACTTGTATATTCCAAACTACTGCGCACTGTTCCCCACCCTGTGCGCACAGTTACCCCATGGGGTGGGGAACGGTGCGCAAATGCAATTTTTTACTTTTTCTAATTATATATGATTATGTTAAGAAATTCAATATCTATTATAGTGCATACTGAAAGTAGAATAATTAGGGTATCAGATAACGTTTTTATTTTATTTTTTATGTTTAAGAGTTGACCACCACAACGATTCTCGCTTAGGTGCGCACCATTCCCCCACCTTCCCCTATATATATATATATATATATATATATATATATATATAATCAACTCATAGGTAATTTAAAGAACGTGTTTGTGATTATTAGACTTTGTTCTTGGTAGAATTGTATTAGACGATCTCCTCTATGGTTACGTTTCCCTAGTCCTTAATCTCCCATTATTGTTCCAACTCTTCCCTTGCCGACTTGCATTTAAATCGCCCATAACTACCGTGATTTCATTGTTCTTTGTCATTTTCAGTGCATCTTCAATTTGTTAGTAGAATGTTTCTACTTCATCTCCTGTTGCATCCGTCGTTGGCGCATCCGCCCGGCAATCGCTCGGTGGAATTTTCGCCATATCTGGCTACCCTCACTGGTTTGATTGTGCTAGTCTTCGTTTTAAAAGCTAGTTTGCTTCTTCTACCAGCTAGATTACTTATTTTGACTTGCGCCATGCTTACCTTGTGTTATATCTTCGTGGCATGGATAAAATCAGGCTCACAAGTATTTTAAATTTTTTTATGGAGAGGTCGCATGAATAAACAACCTCATTATTAGACAGAAGGCGTGGTCAACATTTTAATTGGTCGATAACAGGTTCCTTGCATATTTTTTAAAATATTTTAATGTCTTCTACTAATATATTACTGCGAATTCTTGTCAATATATTATATTCATTGGGTTCTTTCCTTTATTTTTTTTATTTGTACGGTTGGACATTAAAAACATTATTTCTCTTTTTTTGTTGGTTAAGCATCTACGATTCTTTTGAATGATATTATTAAAATTAAATTGCTTCGTTTTATCATGTTTTGTATCATAAAGTTGTTGGTGTTGTTATTTGTGTGCAGTCTATAAGAATTTTTTATTTTATTCTTTCGATATATCCGTACAGTTTTACTAAAAAAAGCCATGGAATTGATGCAACTGTACTTATTAAAATCCATTTCATTCGTAGACTACATACCCACTAGTTTTCAATTTACTTTTTTTTTACTATTTACGCCATTATAGCTATCACTATGTCCGCCTAATTCCTATATATATTTTATGTATTTAAATTCATATTGTACTATTTAAAACACTGTTGAACTAAACCTAATGGGCACTGAACTATTTAAGACATTCTGAGCATTTGATTAGTTGTAACGTATATTTCTTCTGAAAATAGATTAATACTAAGAAAAATTGAGTTGTGCAAAATCCCTACGAGATAAAATATTTTTTTATATGTTTGTGAGATTTTCTAGAGTACAAATTTATTCATATAGGAACTCGTATTTCTATATTTTGACGTATCTGCAGTAGAGCCTATTTTGTAATATATAAAACCCTTTTAGTTGGACAATCATGATTTTTTATCGATCCTCAAGGATGTTTTGTCTACTATACCTTATATTTATTGATACAACATTTTGGTATGTAGTAAAATAGCTTCCCATGTATTTGCTTTATATATCTATAATAAACATGTAAGTACATTGAAAAGACTTTCTTATTTTGAACAATTTACACTGCTTAAATTTATTTTGCTTTGTTAAGATAATTTTTCATCTAGGCCATGTAAGTCCATCTTGCATGGCATATTGGATATATCTCTTGTCTAGTCTAGCCTCAGGACATTCTAGAGAAAAATACCGAGGAAAGTAATATGGCCCGGTACAAGAGAGGAAGATGGCACATGGAGAATCAGGAGAAACGACGAGGTTAATGAGTTAAATGAAGGTTATGACATTGTAAGATTTGTGAAAAGTCAAAGACTGTCATGGCTGGGACATGTGCAGAGACAAAACGATGCAAAAACAACAAAGAAAATGTTACAGATGGAAGCCCATAGAAAGGCGAAAAAAAGGAAGGCCCAGAACGAGATGGTTGGATGACGTGGAAGACGACCTGAAAACAATGAACATAAGACAATGGAGATGAAGGGCACAAGAGAGATCTGAATGGAAGGACATAGCCAGACAGGAAAAGACCCATCCAGGGTTATGATGCCAAAAGAAGAAGAAGAAAAGCCTACGGTTTACATCAGAGCTATTTTGTGCAATTTTGAGATACCACTTTCTCTGTTGCCAATAGAACGAATATATCAAAACATTAACGCTTTAATGCGCTATATGCTATACCAAATAATTTACGCTTACAAAATAATATTAAGTTTGTCTTGAAGTATACAACTGGCATTTTCAAACTGTGGAAAAAGTTGTAATAGTGCATTGTCCTGCAGGTGATCTAGCTGTGAATATTGCTTAAGCCTTTCGTTTTTTAAAATTGTATAAAACATAATAATATTTCCAATAATCGTAATGCATTTTTGGATTTAGTTTTTTCTAATGTTAGGGAGCTAAATATATTAAAAGCAAGTGATCTCCTTGTAGATTCTAACATCCATCATGTGTATTATGAACATTGCTTAAACCTCGATGTGAAACAAACAAACTATATTTTTTGTCAGTCTGACAAAACATATTTTAACTGTTTTTACATTTTGCTTTTCATTGTATGCTCTCTATCAAATACTTTTTTGCATATTCCTTTACATTTTACGGAGGTCACAGTTTTATGTTTTTTTTATATTCCAATTTTTGTTTATTTTCCATTTTTTTTCTTCTTTAGTCCCATTATCAATTACTTCAATTAGGCAAGTCTTTTCCCCTAGGTATTTACTTTTATTTTAATCCATATACTATAAAAATTTTCAAGTGAGGGTGACTTATCTTCAAATTGAACTTAGAGCTAACGACAACAATATTATCTGGTTTCGTGACACGTGATAGGTACCAGGAATTTTCATAAAAACGACTTAAACATATTTTAAAATATTTATTTGATAAAATACAGTTTTATATATAAAACAAATATAACATTTTGGAATGCCTCTGAAAGTATCAATATATTGGAATATAAAACGTTAAAATGCATTATTTTATCAGCCTTTAATAGTCCCAAATTTGACGGGAACTAGCTCAAATATACCTAATTTGAAAACTGCTGGTGAATAATAAAGTGTTTTGCTTTTATGATACAAACATATATAAGACATAATATAGCATTATAAAATATTCAAGATTTATTATCAGTACAAGATGGTAGATTTTTCCAACATCGCATGTACATAATCTTGTTTCTGAATTAACGTTCATGAAAATGACAAGAAAATGGGAAGCGAGATTTCATATGTTCCTAAAATAAACCAACAATCCTTTTACACGCGTATATATTATTCCATTTGGCCACCCTTTCCTAAATATATTTTGAACATTCTCTCTTAATCTCTTTGTTCTTGAAGTCTTCTTTCATAGGCATTCCATAACAGTTGTCTATAAGATTCAGCGGCAGTAGCGGGATCTGGAGCTTGCGTGATTCCTCTGCCGACTACAGCGATATCTGCACCTTTTTCTAGGACTACCGTCTCCGGGGAATTGTACCTTTGGCCTAAAGTATCGCCTTTTTTGTCTATTTGAACTCCCGGACATAGTTGTATGAGACCATGGGTGTTTAAAAATAACGGATTTTGACAAACGATTCCTAAAAGAAACATAAAATGCATTAATAATCTTCTAGAACTTTTAATTCAATTAGAAAATTGTTGTTTCTTGACGAATACTTCCTAGTTATTGTCGAAAAAGGTACTAATTCCAATGATTTGTAACTCAAGACAGCCAGCTTAGACAAAGCTGTTATTCTTCATAGTCAAAAAAGCCACAAAAATACAAATAGTGCTTATCAACAAACAAAACACACCTACAAGACTGCGCCGAGTCACATCCGATTTGAAGACTACCAGACAGGATAGTTTTTGGTTGGAACCAATTCGACCAAGAAATTATTAACCAATCAATTGGACAGTGGCTTCGAAGATTGCAAGCTGTAGTAAATAAGCATGGGGGACATATCCGTAATGAATTTAGTTAATTAATTTTCAGTTTTTTTTTATTTAGTTAAAAAAATTGTATTACATTTTCAATAAAAAAATAAATTTAATAAAAATACTATGTACACCCTTTCAGAATGTCATTTATTTTGCTCCAAACTCTTAAAAAATTTTAATAGGATTTTAAAGCTAGTCTTTCCAGATACTTATTAGCAGTACTCAGTTTTAATTTAAATATTAACAGGGTGACTTTTAGACAGGGTTAGTCTTGTAAATTTTAATTTAAATATGTGCTATATCAATATAGGTCAAAATGGGTTCTAAATAAATTTGGCCCACTTTGTAGATGCAGAACAGTGAACTAAAAAATACAATAGCAAATACATAAAGCGAACAAAACAGCAGGAGCCCTAAACAGACCTAAAATATATACCAAAGACAGATAAATGCTAGGAGATACAAAACACATAAAAAAATAGTAACTATCTGTTACCTGCTACTAGATCTGAATATTCTTCAGCCATTTTTACTGTGTCTTTTACATAACTTTCTGTAATCAAGTTACCAACTGCACTGGCCTCAGCTAGAAGAAAGACTCCTCTCTCCTCTAGTCCTTTACTATTTTTTATGGCATCAAGAACTGCTTTGCCCATGAGAGAGTGCACAGTGATCAAAGGTGCCCAGGATGATATTTGGTATAGTCCTAGAAAAGAAATTTGACTTATAAATAAATTAATAAAATAAATTTTTTTTGATAAAACATATACCTTTACTGTATTGATACTCCACTGTCTTTCCAATATCAGCAAATTTTCTGTCTTCGAATAAGATAAAATTATGCTTCTTGGCTATTTCCTGTAAGGGGCCAATCAAATTTAGATGAAAGTCTTCCATAATGTCTATATGTGTTTTAAGAGCACATATACTTGGACCCACTTTTTCTGCTAAATTTAATAAGTCAGTTGAGTGCAACAGATCTGCCGCTACGCATAGCATTGATTGTTTGGTCTGCATTATTTGGAACAGCTTTTGTGCAACAGGGTTTTTCGCTTTTAGAGCTCTGGATTTGAATGACACATTAAGCCGATCTTAAAAAAAATATTTGTATATACAAAATTACAAACTATGAACTGATCAATGAAAATATCTTAATTTAAACTTCATCAGCATAATATTACTTTAACAGCAAAATACAAAAAAAAAAATGGAACACAGTCCAAGTGAACAGCAGCAGCAGCTGTAGTAACTTAAAAGCGTTTAATTACATTCATTTGTGAATATTATAGAAGCTGTTTCAAGAAAATCCCATCTTTAGTCAGTAAAATTGAAGCTCTGAAGTCAGAATGTTATAAGAAGTGTATATTACATGTGTGTCATAATATTGGTAATATTGTTTTTTTTAATTGTTTAAGATGTGGTTATATAGATGACTACTATGAATAAGCTGGATTGGCAGAGTTAGAAATAAGGAGGTCCATAGACACGCATAAATGTGGTCCTGATAGGAGAAGAACATCACGGCTGAAAAATCTAAGAGAATGGTAAAAAAATTGACTACATCATTATTTGGAGCAACTGCCAATAAAGTCAAAATACTGAATATGGTAGCCAACATGATATCCACTGATTGATAACTATCATAGAATTAGAAGAAAAAGAGGAATATTAGAGTCTACTCTAATACTACTCATACTCTATAAGCAAATAAGTTACTCTTGGTACCTCCTGTTATTCAAAATACACATCAAAATGATAAACAACTTACTTTCTGTAATTGTGTTCAAAGCTTTTTTATCAACTTTGGTTGAAGCCAAATAGCTTCTGACTTTCTCTACCATTTTCTCATCCACACAACCTGCTTCTTTCAACATTTCCATTAGCTGCATCATACCCAACAAAGAATGAACCTGAATACCATTATTATTCAAAAAAGTTTCACCTCCTTGTTCTCTATTCAATAAAATAAGAGCATCAGTACATGTCAAGCCTGAGTCTTTAAGATCTTTTACAGTTTCCAAAATAGAACTGCCAGAAGTTATAACATCTTCTATTATGAGACAATTTTGACCAGGCTCGAATATTCCTTCAATGAGTTTCTTTGTTCCATAATCTTTGGCTTCTTTTCTACGCATCACCATAGGAATGTTTGTTTTTGTAGATAGTACAGTTGCAATGGGTAAGGCTGTATATGGAACTCCACATAGTAGGTTAAACTTATTTATATTATTTACTTTCTGAATCATTAGATCAGATAGAGTCACCTTAAAAGAAAGAAAATATTTAAATATGACACTTTTATTACCAAAAAATGATACTTTTAACATTTTATCTATATCTGACATATAAATCAGCTAAAAATTCCAGAAAAATTAATATAATAAAGACTGTAAATATCTACAGTTTTCATCTCCTCTCTCTCTTTCTCTCCAATGGCACTATAGCCCAAATCAAGCCTTAGTGTGTGTTCATAACGAGGCGCAAACCCTTGATCGGACCATAGGATGGTAGAAGTAATGGATTTTGACAAGAGCTATGACCTTGAAATAACAGGTAAACTTGTGTACTGAATCGGCATGATTCATGGCTCTTGTTAAAATCCATTACCTCTATCATATTATCAATTTTAGGTAAAATAAATGCATTATTTTATATGTGAGCGTTCACAGGTGCTATGCTCTAAGCAAGGATACCATGCTATGGCTCCGTAATGAATGCACCCTTTTCCTCCTCCAACCTTGCTGGTCCTGTGATGATATGATATGTTCTTCGGGTTCTCATATCTAATCTACAGTTTTACTTGTAATAAACATTTTAGTTTTAATGTTGAACTCATGTAACAGACTTACATACAGACCTAAGATGTGCTTGTGGGTTAACACTTTAAAATAACTGATAAAGGAAAAAGTTATTGATCAAACCCTTGCCTTAATGTATTGGCAATGCTACTAGTATACTGTCAGTGGTTGTTTTTCCATGGCTTCCATAATTGTCTTTTTGATGGCAATGAATTCCTCTATGCAGTATTCATTTCTAACTCTATATGTTTGGATATTTTACATATTCTTTGGCATACATCTATCTCCACAGTACTCAATGTTCGGTACTCTGTGAGCATTTAAATTTAGTGTTATCATTGCTATTCTTTAAAAAACAAAACGATGTGAGAACTTTAGATGATACCTCATAACAAAAAATAAATAACGCTTAGATAGACAGGAAATTGGGGAGAGAATATTGCTAATGAGAAGGGCAGTGATTAGGTCAAACACTATATAGTGATCCAAAGATATGAGCATAGGAAGAAAAATAAACATTTACAAAAAATTGTAAATAAACATTCAAGTTAAAATTTTTATTTTTTACTTAAAAAAACAGCATGACCATTAGGAACTTCAACATTTATAAGTTTAAAGTCTATGGTAACATGTGGATAGGATATGGAGGTAATAATGGTTTTCCAGTTATAAAATAAAAAAAATAATTCTCAATTTAGTACAGAATAAGTTAAGACAGTCTGTCAATATGTATTTAAGATAAGTTTTGTCAATATGTTTTAATTAAAACCTATCTATTGTATTATGTTTTCAATGATATGAATTAAAATGGTAAAATATTGCAAGATATTTGTTAGTACTTTTACTAAAATTGTATTACTCTTACCAATAATTTCGGATAGCTAACAATAACTCTTAGATCACAGTAAACAGGAGTCATAATCCCAATTTTAGTCTTATATTCTCCAAATTTTATAGCATTAATGGAATATAATTCTTTGGCAAATTCCTTCAATTTATCTACATAACTTTCCATTATGATTTATGTTTGAGTTCTAAACGACTGTACAACTAATTTAATTGAATAATTGACAAAAATACCAAATATAAAGTTTGAACACGACAGATAAACTTTTTTCTAGCCTATAAATAAATGAATAAAGGAACACATGTAACCTGTTGCTCATGTGGTGTGTGGTGTGAGTAGTTCATAAGGATCGTATTGTAAAAAAGAAGAAATTGGTATTTGACATATAAAACCCTGCAGAAAATAACCCTAAAAAGAAATGTTTTGACTTTTCATGAGATTACAAATGTTATCATATGTGAATTTTACATTTTCATCTTTTTAGTGTAACTTACACAACTTTAATGCAATGTCAAGATTTAGTGGAGCTTTACAATTAACAGATTTAGATGATTTTATTACACCTTCACAAGTAAATATATTTAGAATAATATTAAAACTATTATTAAATTAATATTTTGACATCTTATTTCTTAGACCCATGATAATTTTAATTGTACGATTTATCTATTTTTGAGTTAAGTACATTAATGTTTATTAAGTTAATTAATTGATTGCTTACTAACAATTAAAAAAAATGATTGAATAAAGTAATTTACATAGATACTGTAGTATAGCTACTATGTTTTGAATATTTATTTTCTAAGCAAAAGTCAGTATCTGAAAGGAGAACAATTACAATTTAAAGGAATAAACAGATAGTACTGCAATCATGCAACTTACATGAGTTCGTATTAAACAAAAACCAGTCATCTCATAGCTGGTTGATTTAAAAAAATAATATTAAATAATAATATAGATTAAATAACAGTAATTTTCTATAAGGAGCAAAACTGTTAGGAGAAACACTAATTTAGAAAAAATCACAAAAAAAATAAAATAACTTAATTTAAAACAAATAATAAAATGCATTTTTAGGAATGTATTAAACCCGTAGAAATCAAGAAAAAGCCAGGAAGTAAAACAGGAGCTAAGATACAAATACAAGCAGATGATTATTTCCAAATTGAAGAGGTAAGTTATGAATATTTTTGTGTGCATTAATACTATTTCAAGATATGTTCCAGGATGGGAGTGCCCAAAAGCTACAAAAAGTTGAGATAACTTTGGCTGATTGTTTAGCATGTTCCGGCTGTATAACTTCAGCTGAAAGTGTCTTAATATCAAAACAAAGTGAGGCAGAGTTACGGGATGTTCTAGAAGCAAATAAAAAGTTGAAAATCGTAAGTATGGTATGGTTCTGTTATGCTGAACATCGGAACCTAAAACAGATAAAACCCATTGATTCTAAATTGTTTTCTCATGATGGATATAAATTTGACAACTGTGAAATCATTTTATTTTTCTGAATATAAAAAAAATCAGAAGTTTTTACAATAATATACCAGATAAATGTTTGTATTTTGTCATAAGAAGAGAAAACTTACTATAATTAGCATCAGTATGATATTTCATATGAAATGAGTGAGCATACCTTTTCTAATGTCAAAATTCTGAGTTCGATGGGGAAACTATTTAGGAAAAATTCTATATCTCTTCAGAGGTATAAAGTAGAAAATTCCCTAGTGAAAGAATTTTATAATTCTCTGCTTAATTTCTTACTTGTTCTACTGTTTATATCACTCCATAAATGTTAAAACCTACACTTAATTCACTATCAATTATACTGTTGTTTAAGTTACTTCCGACTACAATAATTATATCATAAGAGCAGCATGAAATACTTTTTAGGTCAAAAAGTTTGGTACATAGACCACTTACATTTTGGAGATTTTGTTTAGCTACCACAATGGTTAAAACACCACTAAGGTAATTAATAATCAAGTTAACCTCCCCAGCAGGTGTTCTTTCCATTAATTCCTTTTTAGTAGCTTTGTTCCATAGCAGTCTGGTCCTTAGAGATGTTGAATGTGGTTCCACAAAGTTTACCTCCAGATTTAAGCACTAATTTAACTGTGGCATTATTAAATATTACTTTGATAGGCCTATTCTAACCTGACAGTTTACCTACTCATATAACTAGACTTATAGTAGCTTCATTCTGCTCCAAACCCAAGTCTATTAAATAAAAATCTCACTTACTTTATTTCTATCATAATCAATATGGTCATTGAGATTGGTTGAGTTAAGAAACACTTAAATACATCCCTACTTGTACTACAAAAAACATTAGTAACCGTTTCTGCAACACAATAGCTCTTTTCTCAGAGGTCGACAATCCACAACATCTTTCTACCAAGTGAAATTTAGTTCTACAGGTATCACAAGCAATGGTTTGTTTCTTATCATGACCCAAATTCAGTGAACAGTCACCACAATTATTATTAGTGGAAGCAGACATCATAACCTCAAAAGACAATCTTAGTATATCAGACCAATCGTCATGCTAAAGCCCAGATTAATGATGCACTGTGTGTAATGATAGGAGAGAGAGAGAGAGAGAGAGAGAGAGAGAGAGAGATATGCCCCACTTCAGCTGATCATTTGAGGTAAAATAGGGGGAAGACATCTAGAGGAAGATGAAGAATATACATAATGGGAGACACAAATATACAAAGCATTTTAGAATTTACATCAGCTTGGAAGACTGAGATGGATGGGTCATGTGGAGCACATGAAACCTCTGAACCAGCAAGAATCATAACCCATAGTGGGAAAGTAACCCAAGCGGAGCCAAAAAAATACAATATATAAACCAACTATAGCAGGTTTTGGATAGAACTCAAAACTAGTGAATAAAAGCTAGAAATAGGAATGAAAGGAAAAGATTAATTGAACTGGCTAAGTCATAAAATAAAAAAACTTATACATATTTGCTGGTGTAAGTAAGTATATCCCATAATGTTATATTTTATGAAGGAAATTTGAAATTAATGTATTTTTCTTTCCATTTGTAAAGCATGGTCCTTATCTAATGTATGTTTTTATAGGTAAATGGCGATGGTAGATCTAATGACATTCAAATAGTCATTGTAAGTTTGTCCATACAGCCTATATTGTCTCTAGCAGTACGCTACAATCTTAAACCAGATGAATGTGCTGCCAAACTTTGTCAGTATTTTAAACAACTAGGGGCAGATATGGTAGTAGATATGACTACTGCTGATGATTTAGCCATTTTAGAAGCCCAAAAGGAATTTATAAGAAGATATCGAGCAACTCATAGTGATGGGGTTAAAAATATTTTGCCAATGTTGGCATCTAGTTGTCCAGGTAAATATATATATATATATATATATATATATATATATATATATATATATATATATATATATATATATATAACCATTATCAATAATCCCTTGTCGTATTGCATATAATTCCATATGAAAGAATTTATCTAAGTGATTTTAGTGAATTTTGTTTTTAATTCTAATGTCTTCTTGCTTTTCAAGGGCTTCTCTATTTCTATTGCATCCTTCCATACTTTTCCGAAGAGTAAATTTGAGGTTTTCTGTTAACCTTCTTCTATACAGTAGTTTTGTTCTTCCCCTCTTTTCTCATCATTTACTGATCCTGGATATAGGCCTCTTGCAATTATTTCCACTTCTTTCTGTTAAAGGCATTCCAAGTCAGTTTTTTAAGCCATACTTTTAGTATTATTTCACCATCTCATCTGGGGTGTTCCCACACTTCTTTTAATTTTTCTGAGATGTCAGACCAACACTATTTGTCTACCTATCTGAGGTTTGTTACGCTATCCTTTGGGCGCATTGTCACTTTTTTACACATTTTTTATTTTGCTTCTTAACCCTTTAAGTGGTTCTGGGAAATAGTTTCCCACTTCTAATCTCTTGAAAACATTTACAGATTATAGGGAATATTGTATCCCATTCAAGGATATCAATTCTCTTCCATAATTTTATCATCTTTTTATATTTATGTGCTCCTATTAATTCTGTTACAGGAGTCTGCTTGTTTTTTTATTAATCATCTACGCCTGTACCACAAGTATTTCATTTATATTAATTTTTTATTTTAAGGTTGGGTGTGTTATGCAGAAAAAACTCACGGCAGTTACATTCTACCATACATATCAACAGCAAAATCACCGCAACAATTAATGGGTTCCTTATTGAAGGAATATGTGACTAAAAAACTAGAACCCAAGTATTCCAAAGCCCACATATATCACGTAGCTGTCATGCCTTGTTATGACAAAAAACTGGAAGCTTCTAGGAATGATTTCTTTTCCGAAGAAACTAATAGACCTGATGTGGATTGTGTAATTACACCTGGTAGGTATAACCACAGGTTAAAATATACATTACATCCAATTAAATCTATGTAAACCTTCGTCCATTCCTGATCAATGTCCATGACAGTTTTGAGAACAACCATTTAGAAGTTTCATCTCAGACACTCTGGAACTTTCGGAAGTTAGAGATCGATTACTTTTAAAATGTAATTGGATATTGTTTAATTCTTATTAGAACCGAGATACAACTTAACGAGAACCAGTAGAATTAACAAGACACACTGTAAAAAACAATTAAAACATTTAAAAATAAAAGAGTAAGTGGATCGGATCTGAGAAGTAAATGAACAGTTAGAAAAAAATATATGTTGATTTGAAAGTTGGTTTCTTTAATAAAATGTAACAGTGTCTTTATATAGTTACACTGGTTTTGGAAATAACATCTAAATATCCGTCTTTAGAAAAGTAATATACAATAATTAACAATAACATTCTTACTTTTAGTTGAATTGGAGCAAATGTTGATGAAAGATAATATATCTTTAGACACGTTGGAAAACGGTAAATTTACGCAACCTTGGAACTCCCTCACAGAAGAAATTGTACCGTCTCTCGTTAAACATATTGGGTCGGGATCAGGTGGATATGCCGATCACATTTTTAAGTATGCTGCCAATGATTTGTTTGGCGAAGACTGTGATCATTTAGAGTACAAATCTGTAAGGTATTAAGTTTTTCTAATGCTTTATTCTTTTATGTCAAATATTGTATAATTCTTCTTTAGTACAGAATTACATTTACACTACTCAAATTAAGTACCACAGTACGCCTTCTTTACTTGCGATAGCGATTAACATCACCACATACATCCATCACAGACACAGTAATGCTAGCTGTTGATGGATTAAAGTATCTTGTGGTAACATCTACCACCCCATCCAGGAGATCCATTGTATATGTATTTATACAATTATTGTTTTGCTACTTCATATATCTCTGCCTTCGTCCATACGTTATGACTAGAGGCGATTACTTGGCGTTAATCACTTAATATATTCATTGTTTCTGTCTATTCTTCTTTCTCTTTTCTCTACTACTCTGTTTCGGTAATCTTTCTTTAGGAATTTGTTGAGCACATCTTAAACCCGTGCTGCCGTAATTTGAAGTGATCAAAACTTTCAGTGATTTATTCAATATGCAGTTTAACATTTGATTTTGCAGATTTATGCATTAATTCGCGGTTTTAGGAACCCAGATTTCAAAGAAGTTATTCTGGAGAAAAATGGCGAGGTTGTATTAAGATTTGCCATAGCCAATGGATTTAGAAACATACAAAATTTAGTACAAAAACTAAAAAGAGGAAAATCACAGTATCACTACGTTGAAGTCATGGCATGTCCTTCAGGTAAACCTTTTACTACATCAGACATATCAAAATAATTAAACAAAAATGCTATAATCGATATAATCTACGATCATTTAATGATCGATTTCATTATCAGTCAAATATCATTTCGTTATAGATATCACCTTGTAGCACATTATGTAGTGTAAAGTACCACAATTGTAGCAAGTGACTGATTTTTTTATAGGCCAGTAAAATTGGACGTTTACCCTTAAGGTGAACCATTTATTGCTAGTACTATTTCGTATCAAGAATTGTTTAAGTAATTCAGTTTTACTTGTGATAAAAGTTATCAGACGACCTTTTTTCTAATCCCATGTTATTAAATCTCATTTGACAATAGGAATTAAATTAAATTCTTGAATCAGTCATAAGTTTGTTAATTTAAATGGATAAAGGGTTTTTTCCAAAACAATATATTTAACAAGGAATAATAATCGCAAAGGTCTACATTGACCAGTCACTTGCTACAATATTTTGATACCGTGGTATAGTGTTCAGATTAAACATATTGTGAAGATGATGTAGTGTAGCTCCAGCAATTAACGTTAAAGCATCAATTGTCGTTTTAAAACTATACGTAAATTTATATTTTAGGCTGTTTAAATGGTGGAGCGCAGATTAGACCAAAGGAAGGTAGATCTGTCAAAGATCTTCTGTTAGAGATCGAGAAACTATACGACTCCCTTCCAACACATTCGCCAGAAAGTAACAAAGTTGTTAAAGAGCTGTATGATAGTTGGTTGCAGGGTGAAGATAGTGATAAGTGTTCTTTGGTATTACATACGCAATATCACGCTGTGGAAAAAACAACTAACGCTTTGAATATTAAGTGGTAGATATGTTAAACTTATGTTTTATTTGTAAAATAAAATCGTTAATAAAAATTGGTGTTTATTTAATAATTTGATTAATTATTTAACTCAAGACTGAATCCTGGACTAATTGTGGTGAGATTCTGTGCTCCAAACCAACCGTTAACGGAGGACTTATGGGTCTCCGGATTTATAAGGAGTCAGAATAGTTCAAAAGGCTTCAATGGAAGCCTTACTACCTTTTCCAGCAAGCTAGTCTTTTTGAACTTAATTTGCCGAACAAGGATAATAAGCCCACATTCAGGACATCAAGAGCAGAATAACTGATTGGGGATATAATATGAAATACTATATTAAACCGGAACCCAGGTTTTATAGAGACCCAAAGGGGACTGATTGGAAATTATTTAGGAGAGCTCTTAAAACAAGTGTATGGAATTATTCTAAAAGGCCAAAAAACAACGTTGAGGTTCAGCTGCGTAGACTGGTTGCAAATTGCTCGTTAAAAGAAAGTCGTCCGTCCAGACAAGCAGCTTGCTGGAATAAAAAGTTATATGATCTCAGAAGAGAAAAAATACTTATCTTTAATAGTGCGAAGAGATCATATGATCGGAAAGCATATAAGGCTAAACTAAAAAACTATAATAAGACAATCCTATCATACAAGGAAAGATTCTGGAAAGAATTATGTGAAAACATTGAAAAAGTACAGTGTTAGGGTTAAAATAATTCTTAAAAGAAATAATCGGATAATACTAATAAACCCAAGTCAGTTAAATTGACCAGTGCTAATTATACAGACACTAAAAAAGCGATTGTAGAGTATTTTTCAAGTGTTCACTTCCCAGGATCGATGCAATTGACTAGTGGAAATAATCAACAAACAAATTTTGGCCCAACCAGAATTGACTGGCTGACCTCTGAAAAGATCTTTGGTTCTCAGAAGATCAGATGGGCTATTGAAACGTTTGAACCGTATAAAATTGCGGGACCAGGTGGTATATTTCTCAGGCTTCTCCAAGAGGAACTGGAGGAGGCTCTGTAATGTTTTTTCAGGTATTTCATTCGATCATTCGAAGGCCGTACTGATCTTGTGTTTATTAATAGAGAAGCGTTGAATGCTCACCGATACATTACATAAATTCAAAACGAGCATGCAATGCCTTTTGCTGGATTTTTGGGCGAAAATTTTATTTTCCAGCAAGATAACGCGTGGCCACACGTAGCCAGGATGGTAACGCGATACCTGGAAACCGACGGTGTGCCAAAAATGAATTGGCCGGCCGGCCAGATTTGAACCCGATTGAGCATGTTTGAGACCAACTCAAATGAAGAGTGAAACAGAATACCTGCTCCAATTAATCGTGAGCATTTTCGATTGGCACTCATGGAAGAATATAACCTTTTTCTCAAGGAAATATCCAGAATTTGATCAATTCAATGCCAAGTCGAATGAGGAGTGTAATTCAAAATAGAGTTGGGAATACAGAATATTAAAAATCACGACTTTATTGTAATTTTTATAAAGAAAGCAGAAAAAATTTACAATGTTGATTTTAAAAATTTTCCATTAAAATCATCATTTTGGGAGAAGTTTTTTTTTACATTTGTTATTTAAGAAATGGTTGCATACGGCTTTAAGACATATTCTTAAACATTACAGAAACATTTTTTTTAACCTATTCTCTATCCTTCCATTGTTGGATATAGATCTCCCCCAGTTCTCTCCATCTTTCCCTATCTTGAGCTGTTCTCTGCCATGTGGGACCTCCTTGTTTCCACTTTCCGATGGTATTGTTCCATCGTCCGTCTTGGAGACCTTCATTGTGTCCAGCCCATTTCCATTTCAGTTTTGCTGCTTGTTCTATCGCGTCTACTGTCTTTGTTCTGGTTCTTATCTACTGGTTACGTTTTCTATCTTTAAATGATATACCCAACATTTGTCTCTCCATCGCTGTTTGTGCCTTCCTTATCCTATCCAAATTGGCCTGTGTAAATGTCCATTTCTGTGCTCCGTAGGTGACCACCGGTATTATACAGGAGTTATATATCTTGCTTCGTAAGTATAGAGGGATTGTTTGATTTTTTAGAACGTAAGAAAGTTTGCCGAACGCTGCCCATCCCATTCTTACTCGTCTCGATATTTCGGCTGTTTGATTTTCTCTGTTAGCTCTGATTGCTTGTCCTAGATAGATATACTCATTTACCTGTTCTATTTTTTCTGTTTGTATTTTTATTGCCTCTTGGTCTTCCGTGTTTGTCATTACTTTTGTTTTGTTGAAGTGAATTTTTAGGCCTTTTTGCAGTGATTTTTCATGTAAGTTCATTCAGCATTAATTCCAGTTCTTGACGTTCCGAGGAGATCAGGAGTATATCATCCGCATATCTAAGGTGATTTAGGTATTTTCCGTTAATACATATTCCTCTGTTTTCTCCTCAGAAACATCTAATAACAATCAATTTCTTGTACGGTTCTTAACACTTAAAAAACATTTTAGGTGGCTTCTTTTTAATGACGAGCAGTGTATTTTGGACGGACAAACAACTTAATTTCATGGTTTTAGGTTCTGTGAGTAGAACAGAAAAGTAATATAAAAAAAATAATGTCATACTGTGCAAAGAATCAGTGCACAATCATGATGTGATCCAGCACGAATGCAAAAAATTATTACCGACCACTAACCCTTAGTTTGGACGCGGAAGGTAGTTGTACGGAAATTTTGGAGATGTTTCTTTTGTAGCAGTATCAAAAGCAAAAAATATCATATAAAAAATATATTACAAAATATAATAAAACTAGTTTAAACTATGGCAACATTTGACTTATGTGGTAAGCGATGTCAATGATCAATCTAGATAATGAAAAATTTTAACATGAATAATTTACAAAACAATTTAAACTTTACATAACATGAAATATACAGTCTATTCAAAATAAAGATGCACTGGGAATAAACAGAATCACACTAAGACACGTACTTTCTTGTTAAATTATTAAAACTTAGAGTAGAGTTGCTACTTGCTTTAGCAAGATTGACAGTAGTACGTACGAGACAACAGTCGTCCAACTAAGTTATAGTACATTATTCCGAGCATAATGACTACTAAATGATACGGTACGTTTTTAATTACTAGTGTCGCCGATAGCTTATGCTACGATGTCTGTTAATATAGTTTATGAAGTAGATATGTACGTTTATACATTGTTAAGGCTGTTTTAGCAGTCAAAACACACTGCGATTTGAAATGGGCGTATCACTTACTTTTCCTCACTGCTTACGCCAGCCGACGACGGGTACAGCTGTTTTCGCAGTGGCGCCGGCCGGCGCGGCGGGTGGTTTAATGACAACAAATGCATTATTCTCCATTCAAATTACTTTTGTCAAGAATACCTTTTTGTTTGATTATCGTAGATGTTTTAAAAATAATTATCACATTTTTAATTTATATGCCTTAGCTAAAAACATCATGGTGTTTATTTATAATAAATTTAAAATACCATAAAATTATTATTATAAAAAAAAATACAATTTGTTCTCACAAACAAATAAACAATTTCGCAGTTATAGCTTGAAATTGATTTCAAATCAAACTATCTGACCGTACGTTCATGAGATTTGACGTCACTCAGCCGATAACGATGAAACTAAATGCCAATGATGAGTAACACGTTTCACTATTAGATTTCAGTATTTTTTAGCAATTTTCTTAACAGTTTGAACACGCTTTTCTCGATTATTACTGGACATAAAAAGGTGAAAAAAAAACCAACGATTACAGAAAAAAAAAAACTCTTTCAAGTGATGGGCGTAAAAAGTTTGGTTATAATAGAACGTTAAACTGTATAATCCGATATTTCAAAAGAACTTTCAAAAAAATTTAAAAAGTAAAACCATCAGTTTAAAGGCAACATAATTTTGAATAACGTGTCCAAATTTCGAGAGATTTTGTCGGTAAATAACAGAGAAAACACTGTATCTAGGTTTTGGTGTACCGATAAAACAGCCTTAAAATCATGATTTGTGAGTGCTCCTCGTAAAATTCATAATGTACTGGTTTGTTTATTCCTAGGCATCTTTATTGTGTATTTAGCTTACATATACGTAAACATAAATGCATAATATGTACCACAGAGATACATAAAGTAACAGAACAATGATCGCTGCATCTACGTCATAGAATCAGTGACGTCATAGATGAATAATACCAACATAATTCCCAAACAAATTCAACAGATTTATTTCTAGATTTCTAAATTAACACCGAGATTAGCTGCCATATTCGAATTATGGCAACAAGTGCAATATGAAATGCAGCGATATTTGTTATTTATTTATTTTGTAATATATTCAACGCCGAGAAAAAACGCGCATAAACAGTTACACTTGAAAAATCCTGATCCTTGCCTGCAGAGGCGAGATGTAACTCAGTCCCTACTCTCTCTACCAGTAGGATCCCCTTCCCATATCAGTTGGCTCACCTATGAAATTTGCAGTTAAAGTCGATTACCATAAACAAATTATACTCTGCATGTTTTTATAAGTTCCTATATTAATTAATATGGCATTTTTATTAATATGTATTAAAAACATTACCCTTATGGTTTTTTATTTATTTTCAACAATAAAAAAAAATCATTAAACCCTGACTACGCATTCACTTATATCAACTGATATGGAAAGGGGATCGTATTTTATGATCCTTCGGCCAATTTACCGTAGGAAAAATTATTACATGGGGTTCATACACTGAGCATACTCTTTCTTGGTTATGAATATATTAGTCCTATGTTAAAAAAAATATCTTAAATTTTTATAACAAATATTCTAATTATTTTTCTTATAATATTAATTACAACTTTAATTAGTTTGTTCTTACATTAATGATCACTTAGTATCAGATCTATATTTTTAACTCCTATAACTTAAAAAAATGTGCCCCACGATGAAGTATTCTAAACCGACTATTGTTTAATGCTAATCGGGGAGATACAAAAAAAAAATAAACAAAGAAACGAGTGATGTTCACTTGAGATTCGAAATCTGATATGTGCCGAAAATCTAACAAGACCAAATATTAAAATAGAATTATTAAATGCAAAACTTCTATCAAAATAGAGATGAAATATTGAAAATTGTAATATAAGTATTCAATTGAAATACTGTTCTCATTTTATGATGGTGGTGCCCTCTACTGTACTTTCTTTAACAAAAAGGAATCTATGAAATAGTGACTGAATGTTTGTTTGCTCTGTTCTTCACAGATGGCGTTGAATTGAGGTTACTCAGACTATCTGCGACATGAAAATTCTTAGAAAAATGGTTAGGATAATAAAGTGTAAACTTAAAGGATATAACAAACAGTGTATGAAAGTGAACTTAATAAAATTCAGATCACAAGAAAAATACATAGATCAAGAGAAAAATGTAACAGCACAGTAACCGAAGGGAAAGGACTTAGTACAAGAAAAGCCAAACTAAAAGAAAGATGTTATAGTGAAGAAGTTTTGATTTTGGCTAACTAAATAACCATAAATAAACAAATGGGTAAAATGGGTAACTATTTTGTTACTAACGTATGGGACATACGATTAAATCAATTGATCGTTTGGTTTTTATCGTTTTTCTTACATATTAATTCTAATTATTTCTGATTAATTCAAAATTAATTTTAAAAATATAAATGAGAGTGTATATATATATATATATATATATATATATATATATATATATATATATATATATATATATACTGAGTTTTTAATGAATGTTTACCGATCCATGACCAATGGAAAGTCTCGATTCACTATTCTGCTACGTTTGAAAACTTTCTGGATAAAGTGCCACACTGTGTAGACACTTACTAAAATACCTCACACAAAGTGTGTCCGACAGTCTCCTAGACTACAATTATAGAATTATACAAATATAGGGAGGGCAGTAATTATACAAAAGTTTTAGTTACCTAACGTGTTCTTAAATATAGAATTGAGCAAATCTTTACTTGATAAAATACCAGTCCCATGCGCTATAACGCGTAATTTAAATTATTGATATAACACGGATATTACGTAGTGCATTAATCGTTGTAGAATGTAACTGCGAGCGAACGGTATGCCATGAAGTTTAACTGTAATAAGTAACACGTCCTTATAGTACGCAAACACAAAAATATAAGAATATTTTTATGACAATAACTTTAGAATACAATAAAAACAAAAAGGTGTGGACTTGTAATAAATTTGTTTATAGCTCATTCGCTTAATTTTTTATTTGCAATTTTTTAAAATTTTATTTAATTTTTGTTTACTTTTATTAAATTTTGTTTAATTTTACTTAATTGTATATAGTTTTATTTGATTTTATTTTAATTTACTTAATTTTATACAATTTTATTTCATTTTATTTAATTTTACTTAATTTTACTTAATTTTGCCTAATTTTATTTAGTTTTATTTAATTTTTTTAAATTTTATTTAGCTTTATATAAGTTTACCTAATTTTATTTAATTTTGTTTAATTTAATTTACTTTATGGAATTTTATTTAAATTTTAAACTTTTTATTGATTTTGTTTAATGCTATAAAATTTTATTTAATTTTTATAATTTTTTAAAATTTTTATAATTACATTTATTTTTATTTAATTGTATGAGGATATAATGATATTAAACTAGCCTTTGATAGATGGCGCTACTTGATTCCAAATTGGTTTCGGTCTTTACATTTGCCATTCATAACATGACGTCTGTCAAAATTTTAAGTTTTAGAAACAATTAGTTTGGTTTTTACAGCCGTAAAAAGCAAGCACATTTTGTGTTTTCGGAGAAATGGAAAAAGTCGGGTCATGTTCAATGATTAAGTTCCTGCACAAAAAGAGTAAAACGAATGTGCAAATCAAAGCCGACCTGGATGAAGTTTATGGTGGGGTTGCACCTTCGTTAGCAACAGTAAAATTTTGGAAAGCTGAATTTGAATTTGAATGAGCGTCCCGGGAGGCCAAATGAAGTCAGCACGCCGGAAATGATCAACAAAGTCTATCAGTACACATCATTCACCATCACTTGAGCATGGACAAGCTATTCGCGCGATGAGTGCCGCGTTTGTTGACAATCGATTAAATGCAAAAACGTGTGACCACTTCGGAGACGCATTTGGCGATGATACGGCGCGATCCGAAGGATTTTTTTCATCGATTTATCACCGTTGATGAAACCTGGGTGCATTATTACACATCAGAAACCAAAGAATAGTCGAAACAGTGGCGCAAACGCGGAGAAGGGCCGCCGAAGAAGGCAAAGAGTGCACATTTGGCCGGCAAAGTGATGGCGACTGTTTTCTGGGATGCGAAGGGCATCATCCACATCGACTACTTGGAAAAAGAAAAAACAATCAATGGTGAGTACTACGTAACATTATTCGATCGATTTGATACCGAATTGCGTCGAAAAGTACTATTCGCATGGGATAAAAAAATTGGAACATCGTCTTACTATCGTGTATCGAGCTAAAATGGTACTATGTTGAAAAATAAATCGATTTCATTCCGAAAAACTTGTTTTTTCTATCAAAGGCTAGTTTTATATCAATCCATTCTCGTATTTAATTTTATTTAATTTTTTAAAATCTAGTAAATGTTTCATCTAGTTTCAAATAAGTAATGAAAAATTATTTATTAATATTAGATTATTAGCAATTATTTTATTTATTTACATTGAATATTAATTTGTTTTATTGTACAATCCACTTGTTATACATAATATAACATTGTTGTTTTTTGTGATTCGGCAACAATGTCAACTTAAAACTCTGACGTAGATAATGACGTGCATCGGGATTTACATTGTACCAACTATATGTTGAAGGTTACTGCCATTACGTCAGGTCATGCAGATTGCCGAGCGTGTAGACTCACATTAAAAGGTGTATATCTGCTTACACAGTTGCGCAACGTTGCCGTTCTTTAAATATATCCATAATACAACAATTAATACGCTCAAGGTAACAAATATAACTAAATAAACAATAGTAATTTAATATACAGTTTTTGTCGTTTATGAGTTTTTTATATATAAGGTTGCCAGCCATGGTAGAGTTTACATAAATTCGCAGGATCCACCGCTTGTTGTATCAAAGCACCTACTTGATGTTCTATACTTCTCGGATGGCCCAGCTCTGTACCCTGAAGTTTCTCACGAAGACGGAGTAGAGCCCTCTCAGCTGACACATTATGTGGCACTAAAAATTTAACCATAAGTAACAACATACTCGAAATAAATTACTAAGAGCGTTTAAAATTTACCGCTTTGGAATTTGGTTGTTTTGAATTGAGATAACCTCAAAATAATACTATTGTTGTGACGCCATTGTCTGCTTTTCTTACCTTCTGGAGACTCTGTAGATTCAGTATTAACCGAGTCTTCCTCTTCAGTTTGACGTTTGTTCGCTTCTGCAGAAGTAACAGTCCATGCATACAGTGGATCATAGAGTAATACTTCTAAAATTGTGTTGATAGTTTGAGCGTTCTGACGTAAAACTTCCATAGTTCTTTCACATGATCTACAAAATATATGTATTTTTAGAATATTGTTATTGCATTTGAATTCCTAAACACTAGAATGTTGTCACTTTTTTCAAGCGTTTTGGCTATCATCAGACATGCGCAAGTGAATACAAACTAACATTATGCAGCTGACAAGACTGATCTAAATATTAGGTTATGATAAAGTAGGAAAATATGGATATAGATCTTGTCGGTCTCTCGAATTTAGTTTGCGCATGTCTAATGGTAAGCTTAAAATCGTAATAACACACTAGTGAATTGACTAGTGAGCTACTCGCTGTTCAAAAGTCAAGAGATTTCAAAATTACAAGCAAAAACAACAATTTTTAAGGCATTCAATGAAAAAGCAGATGAAATGGCCAAACAAGGCTCATCAATGTCATTAATTGGACCCGAACCCTTCTGTGGCGTTGCAAAGACAGTAACAAGAACGGCTACAAGGAAGTGGGTAGCTCACAAATCTCTGAAATGGTGGAGGAATTCACCAGAACGAAGACACGAAACAGCGCATTACAGAACATTCGCCAAAATTTACGGCAGACCTAATAAGTTATATAGACACTAGAAGCTAATGGAGTTATCAGATGATGACCTATGCAGATTCTGTCACCTCAAAGAAGAAACAGCAGAGCACATTCTATGTCAGTGTGACAGTCTGACAAATGTGCGGTTCTTTGCATAAGAAGAAGAAAATCCACCGGCAAATAGCTACATGGAAAGTACAGTCTCGAAGCTATTAGATTTTTTAAAAAGGGTCAGATTAGGGAATGTTATCAAGGACCACAATAGATCTGAAAAGGTCGCAGTAGAATAGGCCAAAAGGCCACCTCTCTAAATCTATTTATCTAGTATGCAGCTGTTTCTACATTGATATGAGGAAAACACACTCCGGTTTGCTCATTACACACACCTGCTTACTATGCGACCATTACAAAAACAAAACTACACGAATTGATCAACCGTCCAACAAATTCACCCGATGTAACATTTTGTGATTTTATTTATGGTTTCAAAAATACAAAAAATGGGTTAAAGGTAGCTGTTTTATAACGAAGGATGAATCATAGCCGAAACTTCACACTGTTTTAATAAGCTCAACGAAAACAACTTTTTAAAAGTAATAAAAAGTTGGAAAAGCGTTTTATCAAGTATATTGCGCGACAAGAAGGCTATGTTGAAAAAAACAAATGGGAAAAATATCAAAAATCATATGTTTTCTTACTTAGTTTTTGCAATATATTATAAGCTTACTTTTTAAATATTCCTTCCACTCCAGATGCTCCCATTGCATCAACCATATCTCTTGTTAATCTAAACGGAACAGTTTCTGGTGTAGGTAAAACTCGACCTTGCTCAAACGCGATACCTGTTAACAAAAATAAATCTGTCAAAGAAATTTCAAGAACTACAAAATAAGAAAAATACATTATATCGTTAAAAATCTACAACTTGCCCAATAAAATGGAAATATTATTTAAATAAAATTAAACAAAATCGCATAGTAATAACGCGCTATAAGAAGTATTCACTTCTGTCGGCACCCCCAAGTGTGACGCGCCGTTTTTATTTTTTTTTAAGTTAATGAGCAACTGTAGATGGTAATTGATTGGATCTCCCGTCGCATGCGACGGGCAAAATCACTAGTTACATTAATAATTTATAAAGAATTATTATTCATAAAATTTAGAGTTTTTGATTTGTAACCTTACTAACATCTTCCAAAAAAAACTTACCAAAATCAATATGGATGACTTCGGCCGTAGTTTTATCTATTAAAATATTGCTGGTATGCCTATCACCAATTCCGAGAATATATCCGCACATACTGGTCGTAGCTACGCTATGTATAAATGCTCGTCTTCTCTCATACCATACGGCAGGCTGTGAGAAGAATTCTTCGAAAAAGTGATGAAACACTGGCTTGATGTCCTTGCAGATTTTCTTGTATATTTCTAGTTTGGCTTCAGGACTCTTGCCGGCAGCTTTCTGTAAAATAAAATTCATTACAGTTGAGTATCAAAAATGTAGATACTAAATTCCAAGAAATAGTGATGACCGTGATGAGTTATTCTTTGTCTTGCAGTGGCGTACATTTTTTTTTTGTAAGAGTGAGAGTTAGCGCTACTTGTATTGAAGACTCGTTACAAATTATAAATATAATTTGTAATTATTATATAATATAAATACAAATTATTTATATAATGCATACTAACTTTTTACTTAAATATGCTCAAGCTGAAATACCATTTATTTCAAAATTCTTATCAGTAAAATATTTGTCAGCGCTTATTAGCAGGCAAGCCAAAGTGTTTTGTTTACGCATATTGCAGTATTACCATAATACCTGGGCGAAAATAATTTGCCGTTAGTCAAAAAGCAGGTATAGAATAATAAATAATGCAAGTTTCCATATTTCAGACAAAAAAGAAAATTTATAGAATTAAAAACTTCAATAAAACATTGATTTTATTAACACTTAAACTTTACATTTAAACATAAAATAATAGATGCTTTAGTTTGCTCCTAAACACAATTCCACTTTGTTTTAATTGTTTGGGGAATTTTCATTATATTGTTTATCAACAACTGGTTTATTGATAACGGCTTTGTTTCTTGCTATTACTGAAATATATCAGTACTATGATACGACCTCCATGTTATAGTCGTCTTTCAGATAGTTTAAACCAGTTGTTAGTTATTACAAGACTTTTTTTTTTAAATAAGAAGTCATATTTCAGAAAAAAAAATTATAAGTGATATTTTGAAAATTTGTTTGTCGGGATCTTACTATCTGTTAGTTTTACGTTTATCGATTTGTATTTTGACGTTTTGGAAGTTTTTTTTAATGTCGATGTTTTAATTTTGTTCTATCTTATGTTTTGTTTTTCAGCCTTATAGTTTCCCCCATATTTTCTTATTGCGTTTATACCCAACATCTTTAATGGGAATTAACCAAATGTTTCATTGAAAAAAAAAATTATTTTGACGTTTAGATTTTCAGTTCGGTAATTTTATTTTCAATATATTATGCAAACAAATAAAAGCGGGAATTGCCGAAACCTGAAACTGATCAGAGATTTCAAAAATACAGATGGGAGAGACTTCCCATCTCTATGGAAACAGTTCCATAATTCCAGCAATATAAACTGAGTATCAACGTTATTAAGAATTGCGAGTAAAATACCACAGTAAGTAAACAGTAACGCACTGGTAAAGATTCACGGTATCAGCTGTATCTGTATACTTACCCCAAATATGCCCTTGCACGTGTGCGGTGACTTGTCCGTAGGCCTGTAGTTTTGATGTGCACCAATAGTATCCTTTCCGTTTCCTGTCAAATATTCCCAATCGGCATACTGTCATCGGCCCACTTCAATATCCCGCTTCTCATCGATAACGGCACGATTTTGTACGTCCTTATCCGCAGATGTTTAGTGGTTTTGTTGTAGGATAGAAGATTGTTCATGATATTGAAAACTTGTTGCATTACGGCGTCTTGTCGAAGGTCGTCGCGGCCTTTGACTAGTTGAGAGTGGTATTTTCCGTCTGTCCCTCTGCACGATATTTTCTTTGGTACATTTACTCCACCGGCGATTTTGTATTTTGGTTTAAATGATACAATACCTTAAAAATATTATAAAAATTAATAAAAATGACCACAACATTATTTGTCACCAACATTGTTCAATGTTTACTCGGACCAGTTATTTAAAAAGGCACTTGAGAGACAACCATATGGAATAAAAATCAAAGGGAAACTACTTAATGTGATTAGATATGCAGACGATACAGTAATTCTATCAGATAATATTAAAGGTCTTCAAATTCTGCTTGATCGTATTCACGAGGTAGGAGAGGAAATGGGCATTAAAATAAAGTCAAACAAAACCAAATTTTTTAGTGTTTAGTCGTGACCCACATCCTGATGCAAAGCTTCAATTAAACGGAGTCTAAGTTGAGAAAATTCACAAAATGACATATTTGGGAACTGTGATAACGGACCAACTAGATCCAGACATAGAAATAAAACAGTAGAATAGCAATGACTAAAACTACTTTTATAAAAATAAAGTCGTTTCTTTGCAATAACCATCTCAGTTTAGAACTAAGACAAAGAATGGTTAAGTGCTATGTTTGGCCCGTACTTTTGTATAGTGCAGAAATGTGGACGGGAACCTTGGACAGCAAGGAAAGCTAATGAAGAAGTAGTAAGGACCGTCAATAAAGATAGAGAACTGCTAAAGACTGTTAAACATCGAAAAATGTCTTATCTGGGACATATAGTAAGGGGAAGTCGATATAAAATATTACAACTGATCTTTAAAGGCCAAATAGAGGGCCATAGAGGTGTAGAAAGAAAACAAGTTTCTTGGTTAAAAAACATTCGTGAATGGACTCGGATATCAAAATAACCGAATCAGAACGCAACACGGCAGATGCGGTTACATGATGCACAAATTGGGTAAACGACCATCCCCACTCTGTGACTGCGGACAACCACAAACCATCTGTCACATTACAGAACAACAGTGTCCCACAAGATCCTGTCAGTGGCAGGTCATAGGATTTCTTAATGGCGACTCCAGCGTCGATAGACTATATAAATAAGTATATATATATATATATATATTATATATATATATATATAATATATATATATATATATATATAGATATATATATATATATATATAAGGTAGTCCAAAATTTTTTATGACTAGTTTGGAAAAAAAATGTAAATATTTTTTCTTTTTGGGTGTGGTAGTCAATAAAAAATAGAGCTTTGCTAAGGCGTACTATTTATTCTGAAATCCGAGCTTTCGGTGGTTGTTTGCCACCTTTATCAAGGTCTACAATGAAAATTACTGTGTTATAAACTTTGGCTGATGCAATATAAAAGTATAAAACTTACCAGAAAGTAAGATTCATAGCATATAAAACACAACGTTAAATACATAATGTGATCTGAATTACTGAAGGCATTAACACTGTTAAAAATTTTAAAGATAACTTAAAAATTTAAAGAACATGTTACAAAGTTTAAAAATGTAAAAAATAAGACGACATGTTGACAAAAAACAGTCGTCTTCGCAGGTTTGAATTCAGTCACATCTCACGAACAGAAAGAGGCAGTAGGCGGAACTATTGTTGTTTAAATAGTTCGATGTGACTACAAAAAACAAACTTTCAAACTGATGTCTAACAAAATACCGTTTGTGATTTTAAGTAATACCAACCATATTACCAACTTTAAATTGAGAGGGAAATTTAAAAAAATTTCATTATGTCAAACAATAAAAAGAAAATAGTATTTAGTAAGTAGGTTTAGAAAAAACAAACAACCAAAAACAAAATGAACCATCTGAATAATAACTGAAGTTAATCATGATAATTATAGCAACTAATAAAGGAATTTAAGAAACAAGACAGGAAACACTCTGAGATGCAGAAGACCCTAGTCAAAAGTCAAAATAAAATTGTAAATTTTGCTAAGGTTCTGGATCTCAGATCTTTTATTCAGATTGTTGTTATCACTCCTGCTGATATGTACCATTTCTAAGAATGTCCTCTTAAATTTATTTTTCTCTCTGGCTAATATTTTTACATTGTTGAAATCTATCTTATGGTCTAGATCGATAGTATGTTCTGCCAAAGCACAAGTGGGTTTATTTAGTCTACAGTCACTCTTATGAGAAATGATACGACTAGACAGATTTCTTCCAGTTTCACCAATGTACGTGGATGGACATTCAGTACATTGAATGCAATAAACAACATCTCTTGACTCTAAAGTAGTTAGGGGTTGTTTTATTTTGCTATACAGCTGACGTATGGTTTTGATGTTCTTGTTAGCTATTTTGATGTTCTTAAATTCTTTGAAAATTTTAGTAACTTTTACAGTTAGTTTTGGAATATACGGAAGGGCATAAAAATACACACTTGTTTGAGAAGAATTGTTTTGTGCTGAGGGCACTGATTGTGAATTAGTGAGAATGTTATTTCTGTTAACAAATGGAACATTAAAAATTAATTTATTAATCAGTCTTAGAGGATATGAATTTTCAACAAAAATATCCCGTAAGAGGTTAAGATCATGTTGGAGATAATCTGGATGTGATAACCTTTTGACACGTTCTTTCATTGCTAGGAGGATGGTGGGAATGGTAGCTTATGAATCTATTGCTACATATAGGTTTTCTATACCATTGTGTTTTCACAACATTATCCTCACATCTATGCAACCTCATGTCAAGGAAGGGCAAAGATCCCTCCCGCTCTTCCTCGCATGTGAATTGCAAGTGTGGGTTTTGTTGTTGAAAACATTTAACGTAAATTGTATAGAGTCTGCTGGTAGTGCCAAGATTAAGTCATCCACGTATCTCTTTATAAAAGGTATTTTAAAATTGATTTGTTGTAAACAATCTTCAATCAAGTCGTCTAAGATTAAAGATTGTTTACAACAAATCAATTTTAAAATACCTTTTATAAAGAGATACGTGGATGACTTAATCTTGGCACTACCAGCAGACTCTATACAATTTACGTTAAATGTTTTCAACCAACAAAACCCACACTTGCAATTCACATGCGAGGAAGAGCGGGAGGGATCTTTGCCCTTCCTTGACATGAGGTTGCATAGATGTGAGGATAATGTTGTGAAAACACAATGGTATAGAAAACCTATATGTAGCAATAGATTCATAAGCTACCATTCCCACCATCCTCCTAGAATGAAAACCAACCTAGTCCTAGCAATGAAAGAACGTGTCAAAAGGTTATCACATCCAGATTATCTCCAACATGATCTTGTTGTTGTATGTTTTGTACAAAATATATGTAAATTTAAATGTAAATGTGTCAAGTGCCATATGATAAATAAAAAATAAATTACATATTAAAAAAATAGATATTTACATACCTACGATATTGGAGTAATCTTTATTAACGCTAACTGGGAGTTGATAAGTAGGTACCAAAACGTCGACAAAATTTTCGATTTTGGTAATACTTTGACTTCTCGGTATGTCATATTCTTTCTTTGTATCTGTACTTCCATCTGGATGCTTGAAATATGCCAATTTAATCAGAGCCATTGAGACTTGGTTTAATCTATCTATTGATTGTGATAACCTATAATGTTTTAAAGCAAAACAGATGATTAGAGATACAAATATAAAATTAGACTGCGCTTTCTTGTAGAGAATATTTTAATTTAAGCACTTACCCGTTGCTTCGTAACTTTTTGATAAGTTCTTTTGCTGTAGCAATTCTAGCATCGTTGCTAGACGTCTTAGTAGGCACTTCATCAAATTCTCGGTCTTTATGTGCATTAGCCAAAGAGAGCAACAAAGGCAATGTATGGTGAGGGTGTTCCATAGCACATTTCTCTATAATTGCGGAGACGTACCTATTAAAGATGTCAATTTCGTTGTCTGTTGACAAATGGGGTATTAATTGAGGCAGCATAACGATATACTTATAACTCGGTAAAGAGGGTAGGTGGGCTTTTATGGTGTCGTTAATTTCGCCATTTTTTCTGTTTTCCAAGAACAGAGACATTATTCTGAATATTCGGATATCTTTGTCGTCGCTGTGTACCAGACAAAGAAGATAATATCTGTAAAAGTTAACCATATTATAAAAATAGTCAAGTGAATGAGATTCAGTATTCTAATTATAAAAATTCAATAGAACAAAACAATTTTTGCTATTAAAGATAACTTACTTTAGGGCTAATTTCAAAAACTGGTTACATTCCATTTTGGTGCTTTCTATTTCCTGTTCGTCTATACTACTATTTCGATTATGAACTGCGGCAGCTTTAGCTTCTTCGTACGTTTTCTTTCTTTGTTTGTGAATACTCGAAGCTGCTTTTTTAGATTGTTCCATATTGGAGATCTTCTTTTGAAATAAATCGGATTTCGTGTACGTCATTATCTAATGACAGATACAGTTAATAACATAATCCAAGTTTAAAACGGCTAAAAATGAATAAAATCGGTAGCCATCTTACCTGAACATATTCTCGATCGGCAAAGAGAGCTAGTTTATCATACGTATCCATAACATTTTTCCTGTCTTCAACATCGCTTCTGAAGGTTCCCATCTGTTGAATCGAGGCGAGAAAATAATCTGAGATGATAGTGGAGCTATTTTCTGCGTTGGTTTCACTCAAGTACTGGCCTGTCAACTTCAAAGCGGTAGCTTTTAATCTGAAATCGTCAAACATATTAGATAATTGTTAAATTATTTGTATCGAGTCTATACAGGTTACTAAAATAGTCTTAAAGGTTTTTACAGAAAGACAAAATTGCAACCGGAATTGAAAAACATCCAAAAAACTTAAATACAAGACTTACTGTCAAGCTTTCGAATTTATTTTCAATTCTTTTTCAAGACATCTGTTGACAATAAATAAATATAAAAATTATGAATTCTTCTTCTTAGGATGCCTGTCCGTTCCGAAAGTTGGGGATCATTCTGGCTATGATAACTTTGTTGGTTGCTATACGGAATAGCTGTATTGAGGTCTTTCTATCCTGGCTCTCAGTTTAGCAAGCCACGATGTTCTTCTTCGTCCTGGGGCCCTTTTTCCTTCAATTTTACCTTTTAAATGAATTGGAGTAGCTCATATCTGCCTTGATTTCTCATTATATGTCCAAAGTACTGCAGCTGACCACCCATCACGATGTTGACCAAATCCGCGGTTGTGTTCATCCTCCCTAGTACTTCTTTGTCATTGGTAACTTTGTCTGTCCACGGTATCTTCAGATTCCTTCTGTATAACCATAGCTCAAAAGCCTGAAGTTTTGATAGAGTTTCCGCCTTCAATCTCCACGTTTCTACTTGGCATGCAAAAACATCAAAGTTTTCCTCGTACCAACGGCGTTCTTTTCGTTAGCAAACTGATTGTTTTGGGCGCAAGTTGTTCCTTGCATTTCCGGTAAATTCTTTTGTGGATGACTTTTAAAAACAGCTTCAGCAGATGGCTGATTAGGGTTATGGTCTTATAGTCTTCACAAACTTTTGTTCCTGGTTTTTTGGGCAATGGTACGAACTTCGATTTGAGCCACTCTACTGGTATTTTTCCCGCCTTGTGTATTTCATTTATTATTTTTATTTGTTCTGCATCTAATACCTTCAACAATTCTCAACTGCAGATGATATTTTGCTGGCCCCAATTTTGGCGTTGAAGTCACCCATGACAATTGTTAGGTCTTGCTTTTTCAACCTCTTCACGACTTGATTAATGCTATGGTATAGTTCTTCTACCTCTTGTTCTGCTCCTTCTGTTGTAGGTGCATACTCTTGAATTATCTTAATGTCTCTCAGCTACGCTTCTTGTGATTGACCAGATGGTGTAGAGCATAGACCATTTTCTGCCTTTTTAAAAATTCTTTAGGGACAGTATTAGAAAGTTAAACTCTTTTGCTTGTGAAATGACCAAAACTGCGAATGTATCTACAGTGTTGCGCGAAATAATGTGGAATACAATATTTTTCACAATTTTACTTTTTTTTACAGTTAACATCATGTTGCCAATAGTGGAAAGTGACAAGTTCTGACAAAGGAAAAATATCCAAAACAAGAAAAACTAAACTTAGGTAACCTAAAAGTCTCTGAGGTACAAGAAAGATTTGAGAGAACAGTGGATGAAAAATTACTAGAAGAAAACAGAGCAGGCTCCACATTAGAAACCCAATGGACCACCATAAGCACTATCATACTCAACACAGCGAAAGAAGTCCTAGGAATAAAGACAAAACGGAGAGAAGAAACATGGTTCGATGAAGAAAGTAAACAAGCTATACAGGAAAGAAATGAAGCACGTAAGACGTGCATACTCAGACGTACTAGAGAGAGAGAAAAACAGAATTTGAGAACAAAAGACGAAGAGCAGATAAACTGTGTTTAAGACAGGGATACAAACCGAAGACTAGCCTCTGCAAAAATAAGCAGGGTAATACCATTAGCAATATGGACGAAATAAAGAGAACCTGGATGACATATTTTCAGGAATTACTAAACAAAGGGACACAACCAGCATTACAACAACAGAGGCAGCAGCAGGCACGGCAGGACGTACAACAACAAGAGCTGGGGAAAGATGGAGAAGAAAATGAATTAACAAGACCCCCAACGCTAGAGGAGGTCCGAACGGCAATCCACATACAAAAAAAGCCATAAAGCACCGGGAATAGATAAAATACCGACAGAACTACTTAAGCAAGGAGGAAGGAATCTGACACAACATAATGTACCAGCTAATACGAGGGATATGAATAGAAGAAGAAATCCCCCAACAATGGAAGAAAAGAATAATCTGCCTAATTCATAAAAAAGGAGACAAACTGTTGTGTCAGAATTATAGAGGCATCTCTTTACTTTGTTCGGGATACAAAATACTCACAAACATCATTAATCGAAGACTTCAACCTCTCACGGAAAAAATCATCGGGGAATATCAAGCAGGGTTTAGGCAAAATAGATCTACCATTGACCAACTATTTACAGTTAAACAAATACTAGCCAATGCATGGGAATATGACATGGACGTTTACAATCTCTTTGTAGATTTTAAACAAGTCTATGATTCAATAGATAGAACAATTCTACCTAATATATTGGAACAAATTTGGCATACCATCAAAATTAATATGACTAGTACAAATGACAATGACAGAAACAGAAGCACAGGTATGTATTCAAGGACAGAACACTGATGCGTTTACGATAAAGCAAAGACTGAAAAAAAGCGACGGACTGGCTCCAACGCTCTTTAATCTTGTTCTTGAATATGTAATTAGACGGTTGATGGTGAGCGGAAATAACATACTTACAAACAAATCTACCCAATTATTAGCATACGCAGATGATATAAACATAATAAGCAGAACAGTGAATGCAGCGGAAGAAACCTACGTTGAGTTGAAACAGAGTGCAGAAGCAGTAAGGCTAGCAAAAATACAAATAAAACAAAACTACTCATACAAACCAGATGAAATAGACCGGCGCAACAACAATTTATTGACGATATAGAACATGTGAATAGATTCACATACCTAGGAATGATCTGGTCGCAAGCAATGAAGAAGAACCGGAAATATATAGAAGGCTTGTGCTGGCAAATCTTATATACTAAAACGCTAAGCCCTTTTCTTGTCCACCACTTTACTCAAAAACCATATTAGATAAGTAAAATATTTTTTCGGAATATTATTAGTATTACGTATGAGATTGTCAAGATATACTTTTGGTACAAAAATTCACTTCCGGTTTTGAGATGATCGGAAGTTAAAATTTACTTTAAGTTTTAGACCCCACAATGTATATATGGATCGAAAGGTCTCGTCGAGACGAATCTAAATATGTACTTCCGGTTGCGATCCGACACCGAAGTGACCCGAAACGCGCATAAAACGTCAAGATAGAGCAAATCTGACACCGGATTCGTGATCAGCATGCAAAATTAACTGCTAAATGATATCCATGTCGACATTTGATGAACTAAAAATTGCATTCCGGTTTTGAGGTCGACTTCCACTTTCGTTTTTATTAGTCAAATCAATAGAGTATTCAACGTAGAGTTCAAAAATGTAAGTTCACGAAATTATCATTTATAGTTTTTGGGTTATTGATAAAAATATTTTTACTTCCGGTCGATTTTTTTAAATTATAAAACTTTTTTTTATTAAAACTTTTATTTTCTTATTAAGTTTATTAAAAAACTTGATGTCGAGTTGGTCCGCTAGTAAAGCCTATTTCGCGATGGGCCACATATTCAAATCGCGAGACGTACAACGGAAAACAAAACTCCGGATCTATAAAACAATAATTAGGCCCATAGTAAGTTATCGTTGTGAAACATGGGTGGTGACACAGAAATCTGCCAATGCATTAAATGTGTTTGAAATAAAAATATTAAGTAGGATAGTGGGCCCAATAAGAAACTGCAAAGATTACGGTGGGCAGGGCATGTGGTCCGCATGCATGAGAATAGAATCCCCAGAAAATTACTAAATGCAAGAATGCAGGAAAAAGACCTGTTGGAAGACCTAAAAAGAGATAGGAAGACGAAGTCAGCGAACATCAAAAGAACAGCGGTAAAACGAAATGATTGGAGAAGCTTGTTGAAGGAGGCCAAGGCCCGATTTGGGTTATAGTGCCATTGGATGGATAGACAAGTTCTGGCAGTCAGTGAGTAATAAGTCATATTAAGATTGATATTACTCTTAAAACGAGCAATACTAATATTACTTTGAGCTAACATACTCGTACAACAATGCTGCAAAGAGATATTGCCAAGATTCAGTATTATTGGTCAGCAGCAGTAAACTAGAATAAAAAAAAAGACTGTAGGACGACCGAGATGAACAGAAAACTTGTTTGTGGATTATTGGGTAAAATTTTTATGTCGGAAAATTGTAAAAAGAACTCCTTAACTGTGTTCAACAAGTTATATAAGCTGGGAGAAAACATATTTCATCATTTAAATTAAATGCTTTTCCATTTTTTCTTCGCATATATCCTATATATAATGTCGGTTTACAACGTTCTTGGACGTCTTACGATTTCCAATCTCCATCTCATTCTATCGTTCTATAGATCGTCCTCCAGTTCTCTTTCCCTGATTTCTTTATCAACTCCTTCTCTCCAACTTCTTCTAGGCCTTCCTGGTCTCCGCCTGCCTCTCGGTTGCCATTCAAGAATTTGTCTTGGTATTCTATTCTCCGGCATTCTCCTTATGTGTCAGTACCATCTTAGTTGTGTCGTTTTGATGTCATCAATAATATTATGTGTACTTCCCAATATATTCGCATATATCAAATTTATGTTATTTATTCGAAATTATCACTTATGTTTACATTAATTTGCACAATGATGCATTTATATCATTAAAAAATGTTTCCAATTAATTAAGAGAATGAATAGATTTAATTAAATAAAAGTTAGTCTGATGACTTCCGAACTTTTCTTTCACTACTGACATTTTAATCATCTGCAAATTTTAATAAGAGAGGCATCTATTGTCTTGCTACCAAACAACTGACAGCTAAATAGGCTCAACAAGCGTAGAAGTTTATTTGCTAGTTCTTTCTAAAAAAAAATTAAAAGGATACTTACCTGGGACTTATTTGGTCGCTTTTGCACAACCGATTAAGTATCTGTCTAGCGACAAGTGTGTTGTTGACTGACCACGACAACTGAACGTCCACCAGATCAATTTTGCTCAGAGTTTCGCTATTTAATCCAGCAATTCCTTTCAAATTTTCCAAAATTGTTGAACTTTCTTTGAAGTGCCCTTCGTCTTTGGCCCGATCTTAAAGGATAATTACTATATAATATAACATAATATTAAATAAACAGAAGATGAATCAGAAGATTAAAAACGTTATTATTCAAAATAACTAGGTAATAATTATCTAATAGGCAGTCCAGGTAAGTACTTAAAAATATATCTCGGAAACTAATCCAGATACAAAAAAATGTTTAGACAAATTTTTAAGGTAAAATCACTCTGAGGACTGTTTAAAAAAAATTGGATTATGTCATTATTTTTCTAAATACAACACATTTAATGAAGATTCTACCCCTTTTGTCAAATGTAGGTATACTAGAAATAGTGGTACTTATAAACTTTTTATTATAACATAAAAAATTTTTTCTAAATTTCTAAATTTTCATCCCTCCTTTATTTTTTTGAGGTTTACCAAAATATTGCTTTCTTTGACCGGGCTATAAATATTATTTGTCATTCATACGAGGAAAACTCATTTGAAATAGTATTATTAATTATCACTGCCACATTTTATCTTATGACCTTTTGAATTATTTACTGTCTTTTAACACCAATAATCCTGGAAAATTCTTTTTACAAACAAATTTAAATTACAATTACAATTCAAAATTTTCCCTTACACATATGCAACCTACATTACAGTTGACCCTCAGATTTCCAAAACAATTCTTTTTACTTATTCATCATAAACATTCCCTTATTCACACACAATTGGTTTAAAGCATATTATAATCCCTCCCATTGATCTATAAAATAAATTTTCTGTTCTTTCACTTTTAGTTATTCAACTAATTAACCCATTCTTAATTCACTTATTTTCTCTATTACTAATCACATTTGAATTTCTGCCCTTTTTAAAAAATCAGCTTCCATTCTACTGATCAATTTAATTTTATAGTCAATTCATAAAATATAAACAAATAGGTTTAAATTAATAATAAAAATACTAGCTACTGCATAGAGTTTCAATATGTTTAAAAAATGTACAATCAATCTTGTTCCGAATGTCATTGTCACTGTAACATTCAATTATCACTTCTGACATAACAAATTAGTTGGCATTTAACTTTCCTGTAGTTCAGATGTACTTGGGACATGTGATGAGAGGGCAAAAATACGCATTATTACAACTTATTATGCAGGGCAAAATCCGAGGAAAGCGAAATGTGGGAAGACGAAGAATATCCTGGCTTAAGAACTTAAGGGAATGGTTTGAATGCAGTAGTGCAGAACTTTTTAGAGCGGCAGTCAACAGAGTCCGCATAGCCATGATGATTTCCAACCTTCGATAGAAGATGGAACTTAAAGAAGAAGTAGTTCAGATGTAAAAAACTCTTTCGAGTAGGGACTTCTGTTCCCTGTGCAATCTAAGTCCATCGGCATATAGCCAGATAATTTAACAATATCATGTATACTTTAATCCATTTCTCCAAATCCAAACCCCAATCCAAACTAAATTGTAGGAATCTTGCACAAAGTTTGCAAAAGCACTTAGTACCTTTGTGTTTCTTGTGCAATAATTATAACTGAGTGAAGTGAACATTTGTCTCTTTTTGTGTTTGAGATTAAGGAACAATGACAGTTGAAAACTTGCATATTGTTTTATGAGAAGTGGTATAAAATAATTTTAATTATAATTATGACCTTCAGACCGCAGCAGTTAATGTAAATGGTGTTAGATGCTGTAGGAAATAGCGTAAAGGTACATTAGGAGTCTCTGTAAAGGCATCTTGTTTTACTTAAAAATCATTATTCGTTTCAGTTGCCATAACAACTCCGGCATTAACAAAAAATCACTGAAGGAGTACCAAATAATGTAGAATGCTTCATGATGAATTTCATGAGGAACTAAATGAAATACCACGAAAAACGTCGCAGCAGAAAGGCTAACAAAAAGGAATGGACACGATCAATTGCGAATGAGTTAAGGATTAGTGGAAAACGCATTAAATGCCATAAAAAGGAAATTCCAGAAAAAACTCCTATTCCAGATTATTTAAAGTGCAGGTTTAAATGCCAAAACTTCTTTTCTGAAGAGAAAAAGGTAAAACTGTGTTCAGACTACTACAGCTTAGTAGACTATACAATAAGTTTTATAACAAAAGATCGAATGGAATCAAGATTATATTATACAGACAGTGATAGGCAAAGGCAGCGAGTCTGCCTTAAGTTTTTTACAGCGAAGGGAATTTTTGTCAGATTTCAAAATGTCCATTATATATCGATTATATCAAGACTTTTGCCCTTCTGATAATGTAAGACTGGTATCACAGTTTGTGTACCAACGTATTTTTCACGATTTTAAACCAGTTCTTGGCTTTTACGGTTCAAAAAGTATCAGTGTTCGGTTTGTAATGCATTCAAAGGAGTCAAGGAAAAATGAGAAGCATAAAAGAGCCGAAAAACAGTCGATTTTTTTTAATAAATAAATACCTTGACTTTGAGAATATTTACTACTTACTTGCAAAGTCCAAGCTCAAATCAATCACATATTGCCTAATATCGTCGTCGTTTGTCTCTTTTTGTAGGTAATCCCTCAGCATAACCAAGCGCTGTGTAAAAATCGGCTCTAAATATTGAAAATCGTTCTTCCTAATAAAGTTATCTTGTAGCTTCCACTTCGTTATCAACGGAGCTCGATTTCCAATTTTCACAAAATTATAAAAATCTTCGATTTCGACCAAGGACTGCAGTTGGGTTAAAGCTGGATACAAGTTGTGACTGCTTTCCAAACTGATGTTCTTTATATCATTCACTACATTCAAAAGTTGAGAGTTGAAAGACTCCTCGAAGGCGCATTGGTTATTATCGTGTAAGGCCTTTAGAGAATAAAACCTAAAATGAAACAAAAAAATTTTGACTTTTTGAATATTTGGTCCATGTAATTTTTTTTTAAATGTAAGTACTTTTTGAATTGTATTTATAAATGGTAAACTTTCTATGTATACATAATTTATGTAAATATTTTTAAATTTAGTTGATAACGGTGTAAAACCAGTTTTTGAACACACCTTAATTTTGAAAATAATTATCTAAATTATTTTTGCCTCTGTTCTTTTTGTACTCTGTTTAGAAATGATAAAGTTTTGTAAATATGTGAATGTAGTGTATGTAAATATATTTGCAACTGTTATAATTTCAGTAGACAATGATAAAGACCGACTTTTAAACACACCTAACAATCGAATAAGTAATGCAAATCAAAAATAAAAGTACGATTCTGTCTAGAGGCGATCCCCCGCTGCTTTGGGGTCATCGAGCAAGAAGACAAAAGAGGGAATGTAAAGGTAGTGGGGGCAAAATATTGTTAGACAAGAAGTGCCATCTTGAGAGGCCACAACAAATCAAATTTAGTTGGATTATGTTATTGCTGATGTTATTGTTTGTCCCAACAGCCACATGAAAGATTATTTGTAATTTCTATTGAAGTTTTTTAACAATTGTTTCACATTTTAGACTATTATCATTATTATTTAATTAAAACTTTATTGTGTTAAAAGTAGTGTTAAAAAAAGTATTTTAAGTGTATTATGTAATATAAAATAATGAAAAATTAGTCCCAATTCTAAAGACAAAAAACATAGACCATAGGGACTTACTAATAATAACAAACCTCTACTGGAATCAAAGAGCACAAATCGTAATAGATAACGAACCCAGTTCAGAAATTGAAATCAGGAGAGGAGTTAGGCAGGGATGTATTATCTCCCCATTACTATTTAACGTATATAGTGAAGCCATTTTTGAAGAAGCATTACTATCTCAAAGTGAAGGAATAATAATTAACGGAAGATCTATTAACAACATAAGAGATGCAGATGACACCGTGATTATGGCAAGCTCTGCTGAACAACTCCAATTATTGCTAAACAAAACAAACAGTTTCTGTGAAAATATGGACTAAAAATGAATATAAAAAAGGCCAAATACATGATAATAACAAAGAAAACAAATATACCAACAAACATAAATTTGAGAAATGTACCGACAGAAAGGTTTGATAAATACAAATACCTAGGAACCTGGATTTCAGATAATAATGATCAAACAACCGAAATAAAAGCTAGGATAGAAATAGCGAGAAATGCGTTTGTAAAAGTGAACACAATTCTCTGCAACAAAGATCTTAGATTAGAACTGAGAGTAAGAGCACTGAGATGCTACGTGTTTTCGATAATGCAATATGGACTTGAAAGCTGGACATTGAAGGAAGAACACATAAATAAGTTACAGTCCTTTGAAACGTGGTGTTATAGAAGGATGCTTAGAATAGCATGGACACAGAAGAAAATACAGAAGTATTGCGAGAAATGGGCAAAGAATGCGAAATAATAAACACAATAAAAATAAGAAAAGTACAATATCTGGAACACGTAATGAGGGGACAGCGATATGAACTGCTAAAGCTGATAATACAGGGAAAGATAGGAATAGGAAGGAGTATAGGAAGAAGCCGAGTGTCATGGTTGAAGAATTTAAGGGACTGGTTTAAATGTAGTTCTATATAACTCTTCAGAGCAGCAGTAGATAAAGTAAAGATAGTGATGATGATATGCAACCTCCAATTGGGAGACGGCACTTAAGAAGAAGAATATAAAATAAATCAATAGATAAATTAGAACCCCTACACCTCTGTATGATTATTCTGAAGTGTCATGAAAGTTAAATTTGGCGCATTCGCATTTCCGGCTATGTCCGCCAGAGGTCACTTTTTGGTCACCTTTTCATAAAGATTAGATTCTCTCTTTTGTCTGCTTGCTCGATGCTTGCGGTAGACACTTATTGACAATAAATATTAATGAAAATCTATTTGAATTAGGTGCTGGTAAGAATTGGGTACAAAATGGGCACTCGGATTGAATGGAAACACATTAAATGAGTCATTTGATTTTGTCGAACTCCTTGTGATAATCTATGGAGCAGATGTATAGCAGGATATTGAATTCCCTTGACTTTTCGATTATTTGTTTTGTATTTAAAAGATGTAAAGCTATAATTTAATATAAAAAAATACCTAAACCGATTCGACTGTCGAATAACATTCAATTTAAAGGGATGTGACGCCTCATCAACATGTATTGGAATACAATTATGGAATAAATTCATTTTTAAGAATACTTGATTTGATTATCTGAAATCGATTTTATATAAAGGACGTACCTGTATTTCTCAAAATCTTCATGAACTATCGTAGTCTTGTTCAAATTTCGTTTTTTCTCCTCGAAAATCCATTGCCCCAACCTCCATAAACACTCATATTCGGGCTCGCCTAATTTAGAACAAATTACGGGAATCTGGTACAAGCTGCTGTTCTTGAAGCTATCCATCAATTCTTTAGAGGACGAACCAAGAGATGTAGCCGCGTTGGCATAGAATTGAATGACTTGGTCAAACTTGCCCTGTTCTTTGTAATGTTCCACTCGGTATTTCGGTTGAAGGAGAAATGAAATTCCACAGCCTGGTAAAGCGTCGAAGTCTCCAATGGATTTGTAAGCCTAAAAATACAAATATTTTACGCATTACTGAAACAATAAGTAAAGTATTCTATATAAGGTAGTGAACAATAATAAGAAAACTTATTATTGGGCCAGTTTAAATGTGTATAGTAGAAAATACGGAAGTGATACACCCGATAGGGAGAGAAGAAGAATTTCTTACATATAAAAAGAAGAAAGCTCAATATTTAAAACAATTTATAAAAGGTCAAAAGGATATAGTTATAACGCAAGACAAAATTAACGAAGCAACGAATTCGGACTATAGATTTTTTAAATTATTATGCTCCTATTAGGTCCTATTAACATAAAGTCTTACTCAGCAGTATTTCCTTAAATCCTATCATTCATCGACTACTTACACTACGGTTAATATGTACCCTACCACACTATGCTCTGCGTTTGTGTATGATTCAATTCTATTTAGTTTGCTCTTATTTTTAAGTAGCTGGAAGGCCTCGAGACTTACGTGATGATGGATCCTATCTTTGTGTTTCCAAAACGGTTTAAACAAAACTATTAAAGAACATCAAGAATATTACTTAATACCTTGTTCTGTAAACGTTGAATTATCTGTAAGTTACTTTGGCTGTCATAACCCATAGTTATATGCCATAACTCCAAACAGGCCTCCGGATTTGCTTGCAGAGCACCATCTTGTTATGAGGTCTTCTTGGTCTTGTGCAATCACTTCTTGATAGTCTGCAAAGCTTAACGTATATAGGTACTCGTTTCGTACCGGTACTCCCATGCCTTCGCATTTTCTTTTCCATGTAGTCAAGGCTTTGTTGGAGATGTGGAACAACCCTGCAGGGCCGCTTTTGTTGTGATTAAGTGTCCTACGATTCTTGTTCCCATTTTAATGGACACTTTATTTTCTTTACACAGAGATTTTTGTAGCTTCTATAAGTTCCGCCTGTATTTCTAATTTGTACATTGCTTCACCTAGTTCTGACCTTGGTATAGAGTCATACGTCTTTCTCAGGTCCACAAATGAAAAATGTATATCTCTATTTTTTGCTTTTTTTTTCTAACAGTTGTTCCAGTGTGTATGTATGGTCTATGCATGATCTTTCTGCCGCGAAGATCCTCCCCAATTTTGCCTTTTATCATTTGCTCTACCTTTTCTCGCATTATCTTTCCATACAATCTTCCTATTGATGATATTACGCTTATTCCTTTGTCTTTTTCGCATCGTTTTCTATCTCTTTTCTTAAAAGTAGATATCATATATGCCTCCGTAGATTCCCTTGGAAGCTGTTCTCTATTTATGGCTTTCTGAAATATCCATTTTATCATCCGGTGTAATTTTTTTGAGCCGTACCTTAGGTGAGATGCCTCCAGGTCCCGGTGCTTTCTAATTTTTGATTGCTTTTAGGACCGTTCCCAATTCCCTATCTGTTATTTCTATTTCTTCTTGTGGGGATCTGCTTAGTCTTCGTCTGTTTCCTTTTCCAATGAATTGTGGTCTTTGTTCTGTTAGCAGTTCCTTGTAATAGTCCTTCCATTCGTTGTCCTGTGTATTTCCCAATTAATTTTTTTCTTTTGAGTTTTGTTTAATACTCTCAGTACTTTTCATGACTCCGAAGTACTTGTACCTCCGATGTATGCTTCAATATTTAAGCAGGTTCTTTCCCATTCTTCATTCTTTTGTTGTGATATTTGTTTTTCACTCTACCTTTTTCACTATATTCTTTATAATCTTCATCGTTGTTTGTAGTAAGCCATTTTCTGTATAGTTGCTTTTTTCTTCAATTATTCTTTTTTTGGTTCAGTTATTTCATAATAGTAATGTTTATTTGTTATCTGTTCTTTCTCTCCAAGGGCTTCGAATGCTGCTTGTTATGCTCGTATATTTCTTCGACGTTGCCGTATCTGAAGTCTATTAATTTTTGGTCTAGACTTTGTTTGTATAGTTCTCTTATTGATTGTTCTTGTAGTAGTCCTCTTCTGACTCTCACATCTTTCATCTTTTTTTTTATGTTATGTTAACAAATATACTGAAATATAATGATAACGACAATGCTGGACAAGAGGAAAAGAAAAAAGTCGAGGCATGTACAAAAATATATCGACTAATATTCGAGAAAAATATCGGTTACATTTCACGTCTAAATATGAACATATTTCATCAAATAGGTAATTGTTCAGTAATACAATATACTATATTCATACAAAAATTTGTTAGTTTCTTCCCCAAAATCAATTTTTACTGTTACATAGATGCATTAAACAAATATTTTACTACAATCAACAAACTAATGTTTACTTAATAACAGAAAATATACTGATAAGACCACCGTCGCAATGACTTCGTTATTTCAAAGAATTTTTGAAGGCTATCAGTGGTGTGATAATTTAAATATGTTTGCAAAACGAAAATTCCATTTCTTCTGGGGTTCACCGATGGTGGTATTGCATTTATGTACAGTTCTGAACTAAAAACGAATATTTCCTACAGTATCAATTTTTATTACTTCGTGTTATTAGAAGGGTTGTATTTAAGCTCAAAATTGAGAATGGATGTATTATTTTAAAGATCAATACGCTAGGAGCATGATAATTTGATACATACGGGATTTTCTAATTATTATTATCAACTATTTCGGACTATAAAAAGTTCCATTTATAATGGTTAAAATACATACATAATGCAAAAGTATTATACCTCTTTTTACGAGTTAGGTCGATTACACAAATAATCTAATGCTTACACTATCTACATATCGGAAACTACTTATACGATATTTACGAAAAATGGTTTATGGGATTACATACCAACTTAGAAGAAAAAATTTATTTTTAGATTCTGTGTAAGATTCTATACAAAATCTGTAAAAGTTTCCGCAAGTCAAAACTTCATATTTTTTGAGTTTCATGTTTTTTCAATAATTTTGACAGATGGATACAAACTTTTCAAAGTTAATATCTCATCCATTTACAATCATATTCTGTTGAAAACTTTTGCGCACAAAGAGTAGGTGACGTTTTTTCGGGAATTTACATCGAAATCGAATTTCTAAATACAGGGTGTCCACAAATGATAGGCAATTTCTTTAAACTTCAAACTAAATTAAGACAATAATTTTAAATGAAACATACAGTGTTTCATAGTTTGAATGAAAAAATAAATCAGTTGTCTCTCAAATAGTATTGGGGTTCCTTAAACCTAAATTTAATTCTTTTGGAGATTAAATATATTTTTTAAACTGCTTCAACCACAAGGGATATTAGCAATGGTCTATTTTACATATAACATATAAAAAAACAAAAATACAATTAGATTTTGATGATTAGTCCTGAGGAAACCAAAAAAAGTATTTTTGTGGTCACTATGTTTTTACGATTTTGGTCACTATGTTCACTTAGAATATCTTTTATTGTTGTAGGTAACTGTTCATGTTGTCTTTCAAATTTTCATTTTTTTGTTAACACTTCCTTATACCTATTGTGAACCATTTTTGAGTTATAACGGTTTTTATATGAAAATTACACTTTTCTACCAAGTATATAAAGTTCGATATCCTCTAAAGTCTAAAGTAATTTGAACAAAATTTAAAATTCTTTAAAAACATATTAACTGCATACATCATTATCGTTTACAGTGTAAAGTTGCCTTTTTCATTATACAGGGTGCTGTCAAAATTTTCATAAAGCATGCGTCCTAAATTTTCGTCTAATTCCATTTTTTCAAATGGCACCCTGTATGTATTTTCATTATTTTAGAAGAATACGTTTCTCACTATCGTCTGTATTAGTATTTCCTATACATATCTCCTGCAGTTTTCAAATAAATTAACTTTAAACATGTTTGTTACAAAAAATTAATTTATCAAGTAGCCTATGAAATATTCCGACAAAAATATCAGTTATTGTTAATGTTTAATATTAACCTTGTTATATGCCATTGGATGACAGTTCTTCTCTTCTTCGCGTTCCATATCAGAACTATTCGACGTTGGCGATCACCATTGCGAAGGCTTCTCGATCTTCTGCAATATGGAATAATTGTCCTGCATTTGGTATCTGAGTCCATTCATGAATGTTTTTTAACGAAGAAACTTGTTTTATTCCTACACCTCTACGGCCCTTTATTTTGGCTTTAAGGATCAGTTGTAAAATTTTATATCGACTTCCCCTTACTATATTTCCCAGATAAGACATTCTTCGATGTTTAACAGTCTTTAGCAGCTCTCTGTCTTTGCTGATGCTCCTTAGTACTTCTTCATTAGTTTTTCTTGCTGTCCAAGGTATCTTCAGCATTCGTCTATGAACCCACATTTCCAATGCTTCAATTTTGTTCATGATCGATACTTTTAGCGTCCACACTTCTGCACTATACAAAAGTACAGACCAAACATAACACTTAACCATTCTTTGCCTTAGTTCTAAACTGAGATGGTTATTGCAAATAAATGACTTCATTTTCAGAAAAGTAGTTTTAGTCATTGCTATTCTAAGTTTTATTTCTATGTCTGGATCTAGTTAGTCCGTTATCACAGTTCCCAAATATGTCATTTTGTGAACTTTCTCAACTTGGACTCCGTTCAATTGAAGCTTTGCATCGGGATGTGGGTCACGAATAAACACTAAAAATTGGGTTTTGTTTGAGTTTATTTTAATGCCCATTTCCTCTCCTACCTCGTGAATACGATCAAGCAGAATTTGAAGACCTTCAATATTATCTGATAGAATTACTATATCGTCTGTATATCTAATCACATTAAGTAGTTCACCGTTGATTTTTATTCCATATGGTTGTCTCTCAAGTGCCTTTTTAAATAGCTGGTCCGAGTAAACATTGAACAATGTTGGCGACAAAATGCAACCTTGTCTGACTCCTCGTTGTATGGGGATTTCATCGGTGTAGTTATCTCCAATTTTTACGATAGCAGTTTGATTCCAGCACACATTTTTAATGACACGAATATCCTTGTCATCTATTCCGATATTTTTCAGTATTTGCATTAATTTTACATGCTCTACTTTATCGAATGCCT